GTGACGGTTTATGGGTGTCTTGGTGGTGGTAATTTTGTGGGGATTACACCTGAGATGAGAAATCAAACTTTTACAAAAATGAACAACAATGTGAAAATATATAAGTAATAAAAAAAACAAACAACTTGCTCTAGGTGCTGTATTACAACACTGTGTGAAATTGCTGTTGCTGTTTTTTTTTTAATTAGACATACAATTTAGATTTTATCTGGGATATTTGGTCCTTTAATCAAAATAAGCTAGCGATGTGTCAAATCCACTCAAAATAGCAGGCCCATAATGATTTTTGAGAAGAGGTAAGAGCATCAAATGGCAGCAGCAGAGCAAGGACCCAAGTGCGGGCCCTTCTGAGCTCGGGGCCCTCTGTGCCTGCACAGCTTGCACACCCCCAAAGCCAGTCCTGCATGCACAGATGCTCTGGTTCTAGAATGCACGTCTTCACCAAATACCAGAACTGAACAGCACACAGTTTGGCAGAGATCTGACTTTGATGTAAATAGCAAATGGACGTGTTGTGTGTGTGCACATAACAGGCACCAGCCCTCTGTAAACACCATCCAGGGGTGTTTCTCTCCATCAAGGGCTTGAGGCTGTTTTCTAGCCTGTGGTGAACAGACCCGGCTCTGCCTTGGGCCGTGTGCCTTGTCCCTGCTGGGCCATTCATTGGCCAGACCCACTTTAGAGGAGCCCATGAAGCCAGCGTGGGACTGAAAATGGATTTAAAATGGACCAATCTGCGTGGAGCTCCTTTGGGCACAGGTCAGGCTTCCGCTTGCACCAGTGCCTCGTGTCCGGTTTAGAAGCCCAACCTCAGAATAGGCCAGGCCGGACACGCTGGCGCAGTTTCAGTTTCGAGGCCACCAGTGTGACATTGAAAATGGGCCAGCATGGCATTGAACAAGGGCTTGACGATGGGCTGATTTGGTCAGAGTTGGGCTGGTCATCTGGCAGACATTTCCAGAGCCAGTTGGTGGAGACGCTCCTTGGACTTCTTTTACTTTACTTAAATCCTGCTCTAATGTTCTGGGCTAGTTCTACCTGATCAACTGCATCTCTAGCCGCTGCCACCCCCTCTCACTTCCCAGCCTTGACTGTCCCTAGCTGCACCCCAGACCCAGCCATGAACCCGCCTAAGGCATTGAGTGAGCCCACCCTGAGTTACTGGCATTCTGCGCCTTGTCCTGGTGCTGTGGGAGAACAGCAGAGTTCCTGGGGAAATAGGAGCCAACCCTCTGGTTCCTCCTAGGGCTTCCTTTTCCTAGAGACACATTACTCGGACCCAGTTCTTCCCCACAGGACACCTGAGCAAGGTGATAATCACTGGCGCTTACTAGATGCTGGCTTCACATCACGATGCCCATTTGCTTAACGATCACAGCTGACTCATGCTTCATGCTTCACAGCTGTAACTCACTTCATCCTTAACAGCGCTAAGGTAGGCACTAGTTGTAGCCCCATCTTTCAGATGAGGATAGTGAGGCAGGAGAGCTAGGTAAATCACATAAGATCTGAGTTAGTAAGTGGGAGATTCAGAACAGGAACCCCCGTGTCCTCTAGTTCCGGAGCCTGCATGTGATGGTCACAGCTGGCTTCAGCGATCTCCTGAGCATTCTGGAAGGATGGGCAGGACAGCCTCACAGGCCTGGTACAATTGGAGCCAAAGATCCAGGACTGGCCCTCCTTTTGTCTGAGAGCAGAACTCCAAATGTATGTTCTGGAATTTTCCCAGTGACAGGATTGAGGGTCAGACTGGAACAGTTTCCCCACACAGTTCATCAGAGGCAGGGGACACCCCCCCACACACACCCCTTCATGCATGAAATATTGCTACTGAAGAGTGGGGTGACTTTATGTCTGATATGAAGTGAGGACCTTAAATCTATTTCAAGACTGTATTTCAAGACTATTACTCCACTAATGTCCATACCCAAGAACTTTGCTTTAATTTTATTTTAGTGTTCTAGTCTGTGAGTTACTGAACGAGTTAGGAACCAATTATGATAATCACTGTCATAGCAATCATGGTGATGGCGATAATAATAATCATACTTTGACTTGTATTTTACTTTACAATGTAGTGATTTTTCCATGAGCACCTCCAGCACGAGGCTTTAGAGAGGGTAGGTGAGTCTGTGGACACCCAGGTAGAGAGGGAGGTGGGCCTGGAGCCTCTGTCTTCTCACTCCTGTCTCGTGCTCCTTGGGTGGCCCTGGAATGTTCCTGAGCTCTGTGCCCAGGAGGTGGGGCACACCCTCTCTGAAAGCAGCTCTTGTCAGCATGTAGGGTAAGGTAAAAAGTATCAGGCTTTTCTGCCCTCATGCCATTAGGATAGATGACAGAACCCTGTGGTCCGGAATGCATGCCTGATGGCGGGCACCTGGAGTCGGGTGTGGGCATATGTAGATGGGATTCACTTGGGCTAAGACTGGGCTTTTAAGGGCGGCGTCATGGGGATGCCAGTAGAAGCAGAGAAGCAGAAGCAGAAGAACCATGAGAACAAGGCCACCAGAGAACGCCAGAGAGCCCAGATAGAGTGAGGACTTGCTGGGGGCTGGGAGGCCTGCCAGCCTCCCGGCCCCCCAGCACCCCTGCCTGCCGTGTACCTGGTAAATCCCAATAAAAGCTTGCAAAAGCCACTGAGGGCTCCAGGACTCTCCTCCTTTACCCGGTCTGCTGCATTAGAAAACCTGTCCCATGTCCTGTCCTGCCCTTACACAGAGCTATTGAGATGCCTGCTCAGAACCCACTGGTTCGCCTGTGTCTGCAGGACACTGACATGCCGTCTGACATGTTGGACTAAGAGCAAACCTGTCCACCCTGATAGTCAGGAGGAGCCACGAGACAGCCAAGCCTGAATCACAAATGCTTCCACAACACTTTTTGGACTCACTAGAATGTTCCAAACCCACATGGAGTGAAGCTGTTTGGGCACATTCCCCCCTTTTCAACAGGACTGTGTTAATGCAATTTGGATGGTTCTGAAGAGGAATGCTTAGAAAAATGAATGTGTGCAAGTTCCGAAGGCACCTGAAAAAAATTTTGAAAGCCTTTTTTTGCACAATTAAATCAAATTGGTGGTTAGTAAAGAAGAATGGTTAGGAAGACTTGCCTGAATGCTCATTTAAGAAATGGAAACTGTAATTTAGATATTTTGAGATAACAGGTTTGAATGATTCTGATGAGAAAATTGAAAAGGAAAATAGCCAGGTGACTCATCATCCAAAGGCAGGAAGCCACAGTGAGCTCTGCAGCTCCAGAAGAGGGGGGATGATGGGCAACATTGCTCTTCCCTGGGTTGCATCCCAACATGCCAATGGCCATGAACTCAATAAGCCCCACACTGCATGGATTCAGAAACAGGCCCTACAGGAGTGGTCCTAATGTCGGAGAGAGTTAGGCAACTGGCATGCAAATGAATATCAAGTAGTTTGGACTCTCATCTGTCTAAATTGTGCTAATGCTGAAGTCTTTTCTTCCAGCATTACATTCTTCAGTCTTATCCATATAGACTAAGTCCTATACTCCCAATACAAACGTGACTTAAGTCATTGCAGAATTCCTAAGAAAGTAGATGTTGGTGTTTTCAAGGCTGCATTTGAAAGATATGTTAGTAGACCTGGCTTTAAAAGGATTCCTTTAGAACTCTCCTGCACTGTTGGTGGGAGTGCAAACTGGTCCAACCACTATGGAGAGCTGTGTGGAGATTTCTGGACCTACTAAACATAGAGCTTCCATATGATCCAGCAATTCCACTCCTAGGTATTTACCCAAAGGACACAGAAACATCAATTCCAAAGAGCACCTGCACCCCTATGTTTATAGCAGCACTATTTACAATAGCTAAGCTTTGGAAACAACCCAAATGCCCAAAAATAGATGACTGGATCAAGAAGATGTGGTACCTATATACCATGGAATATTACTCAGCATTCAAAAAAGATAAACACATGCAATTTGCAGCAACATGGATGGCGCTGGAAGGGATCATGCTCAGCGAAATAAGCCAGAAAGAAAAAGAAAAATACCGGATGGTCTCCCTCATAGCAGGAATCTAGAAAACCTAAATAAGGGACCAGGAAAATGAATAACTATAAGAAAGTGAAAATCAAAATCAACAAACAACTATGAACCAGAGACACTGTTTGGGGGGTAGGGGGCGGGGAGGGGAGGGCTTGGGGTCAAAATAAGGGGGTTGCAATTGTATGGGGAATATAAAAATAAAATTTATTTAAAAAAAAAGATACTAAGATGATATATATAAAAAAAGGATTCCTTTATACGCAAACATCCGTTATTTCACACCTGGAAGCTCTAAGGTGCAAGAAGTGAGTGAGAAGAGAGGGAGGATTCGGAGAGGATAAGGCGCTTCGAGGAGAGGAGAGACAGGCACTGCTCACAAAACTCTCCACGCAGGGAAGAGCCACCGTCTTCCTCTCATTCTTCATTCTTCGGGCTTTCCAGGGAGAGCTCCGTGATCCGTGGGTCTTTCGTGAATTTCTCATCACACGTCTCTGTTACCCCACACAGGCAAAAGTTGACGACAGCTACCGTCTGTGGGGGGAGCGTGCCCAGGGGATTAGGCTGTAAAGGAGTCTAATTTGCCTTCTCAAATCTAAGACAGTGGTCAACTTTTCTCAGATGCTCAGTTTCCCCGAATCAAACATGTCCGTGATGTTTGGTGTTTCTGCAGTGGATGGTACCATTTTCCATCCAAAATATAATTCTGGGTGAGCAAAAATTTCCATAACTGTAATCTAAATATATTAAGACCCAGGAAAGCTGGATCTCCTTAGAACGATTCTATTTATGGGAGAAGGAAGAGAAGCAATGCATCGATGTTACTAATTTTATAGAGAATGTGGAAATGGACTTCTGCTTCCACAAGTTCATGAATGGGGGATACAGGTGCCCTGCAGAATTCTGTGCCTTCTGTGCTTCAGTGCTCTGATTTCTCTGTCACCTTACCACTCTCCCTCTCTCTTTTTAATATTTCTCACCAGGGTATGGGAATATTGCTCCAAGCACTGAAGGAGGCAAAATCTTTTGTATTTTATATGCCATCTTTGGAATTCCGCTCTTTGGTTTCTTATTGGCTGGAATCGGAGACCAACTTGGAACCATCTTTGGCAAAAGCATTGCAAGAGTGGAGAAGGTCTTTCGAGTGAGTACTGCATCCATTTAAACCCTGTCTTCCGGGAGCCAGTTGACTTTAGCCTGACAGGGGCCAGAGAGGTTATCAGAGTGTTATCATGTCATTTTTTAATGGAATAGTTTAATGTTATAATCTTACTTTCTGTTTTGCCCATAGTAACAGATACTATGCCTAAACTACCCCCTATGCCATATGGGTAGCTTCTTTAGACTGGTGTTTCTGGAATGATAGCACAAGAGGGTTCAGTATCGATTTGCCAACATTTTTGCTGAAAATGTGAGGCATACTCAGTTCCTTCTTAATGATAGAGGATGGGTTCCTTAGTGTATTTGCACTAAAGTAGAGACTTGTCAATCCATCCACTTTGTTTTTGTAAATTTCTTCACTCCATTTTATTTCCAAGCACCGTGTCTTCAGCAAAGTCCTGACTTCTAAGACCTCTTTCAAAAACCTGCCTTTCCCAGACATTGTTTTGTGTTTTGCTGCTGCCTTCTCAGGGCCCCTCCCTCTCTTTCCTTTCTACTGCTGAGTGCTCCCTCAGTAGTAGTATACCGATTAGGTACTACTTTATACTAAAGTGTTGATGATTGCTATTACCCTAGTGGTTTTTTTTTTTAACTTATCTTTAAACATGGGACCAAAATCTCAAGGAATTTATTTACTAATATTTAGTAAATAATAATAATATTTAGTAAATTTATTTACTAAAAATATTTACTTAAGGAATTTATTTACTAAAGATTGCATTTCTGGAATCTGTGACAGGCATGAGGAGTAGATGTGACTGAACTGTCATTCTCAGTGATCTTTAACTCACACCCATTCATATGATTTAACAATACTTGTTTTGCTTTGCTTAGGTGTAAGGTCATTTCTGTTCTCTTTCTCATTGTTGTCCTATTCTCAAGTCTTTCAAACCTTCTTCAAGGAATTGTTTCTTATGATGACTTAATATTTCAAAACAAAAATTTGAGACCTTTTTCAGAATCTGGCAATGTTGGGCAAGCGTAAGATAGTGGAACAAACTTGGAGCCATTTTTCATAAACTCAGTGATGCTGGGGGAGCTGCCTCAGTTTTCTCATTACAAAAGGGGATTGAAACTTTATCAGATTTTGATTATGATTACATGGAAGAATGATGGAACAGAGCTTGGCACAGGATCAGAAGTGTAGAGTTCAGAGTTGCGTTGTCTCCCGGAAGAAGTGCTCATTGACAGGCTAGTGAGCCACTTAGATTTCATCTGAGTAGCCTGGCGGCCTGTGGTTTTTTCTGGAATGTCCCACAACCTTTGCTCCTGAAGTGCTGCCTGGCGAGCCAGCCTCATTAGAGCCTGCACCTGGGCTCCTCAGTGGTTGCCATGGAAACCCTTAGCCTCTCTGCTTCTCAGATGTTCAGGTCCCCAAGCCAGACAGCCTGGCAACCCTGTCGCCAAGGGCTGGCGTGAACTTCCCAGAGGTGCTCTTCTAGCGACAGCTTTGTGGTCCACAGAGTTAGAGCAAGATGAATCTGGCCGACTGATTCACAACAGCATTCAAATGGAGAAATGACTGGCATTTGATCTAGCATTTTTCTTTTTATGTAGCATCTTTGGATCTTCATTTCCTTATTTGTAGGAAGAGTGGGTTGTTCTAAAAGCTATTGAAATCCCCCTTTAGAAAAAGGAAAAAAAATAGTGTATTTTTTTAGACTATATTAGCGTATTCTAAGTGAGGGAAGGGACTGCAACCATTTTGAGTACAATCTGCCACCAAATTTGGGGGCTCAGTGTCCCCTGATGAATTTTGGAACTAAAGTACAGAATATTGTTCTTCCTCTCCTTAAAGCTGCCCCCTCCCAAGTGGACTGTTCTATGGACTCTAGGACAGAACCTTATAACCCTCACATTTCATTTTCTTTTTTTTCCTTTAAGATTTATTTATTTATGCATATAAGAACTGAGATGTGGGGCCAGAGGTGCGGGGGGTGAGAGAATTCACCAGAGACAGAGTGGGGAACAGAACAGGCAGATCGACTGAAATGCACTGCTGAGGAGAACAGCAGGCGAGGCAGGAGAGGTCTGCTGCGCCATGTGGGTAGCTCCCTGGCCAGGGATCGAACTCACGTGGCAGTGGCTGCGACTAGCTTCATGGTGCTGCATCTCAACCCCTTGCGCCACCAGGGAGGCCCCACATTTCATCTTCATGCTGATGGCTCACTCAGTTCCTTGCAGGGTCATTGAGGTCCGAAAGTCTCTCGGGGAAGAGGTAACAGCATATTATCCTGTAGGTAGCACACGATTCCTGCACTTGCAGAACATTGAGGGGAGTTGTGGCAGGGATGACAATCCCATGAAGAGTATATTCATGCTCTCCTATTTCTCCCTCCCTTCTTTGGGACCCTTTAGTCAATCAGGGAATGCTAACTTAATTCGCCCTGCTGGATTTGCTGCACCCTAAGACTCTGCCAGCCCTTGGCTTTGCTGTGAGCCCAGGATCTGAGTTGGGAGTTCCACACTGGCTCTGAAGAGCTTCCATCTCCATTCACAGCCCATTGGCCTGACATGGCTCCACCCTGGGCATAGGGGCCCTGGGGTGCATTGTTTGAGCTGCAGGAAGGGGAGGGGAGGGCACAGTTGGTAAGCACTAGTGATATACCATGTGTCTATTTCCTGGGACTACCTGTGGGCCTCACACCAGGGCGGCACGCATCCCTGAAGGTTAGATACAGCTGACCTGCGGATCACTCTCTGGGGAGCACTGCTCTAGCGAGACTCATTTGCCCCTGAGAAGTGGAGCCCATGGTCTGATAAAGGACTTGCCACGAGCCACATGGTGAGTAGGGAGCAGCACCAGGACTAGAACCAGGAATCCCACCCGCCCCTCCTCTAGGTGGGCTGGGAGTATTACTGGCAGATGTGTTAATCCATGCCATGCAATCAATGTTGAGTTTTGGACTTCTGAACGTGTCATGCTAATTTGTGGGGATGGTTTTTCAGTATTTGACATAACAAAGTAAGAATACTTTTTGCTGGGTTTCCAGGGGGAAATCTGGGCTGTTAGCAGGGATGGGTGATTATTGGGGATGATCAGCACTGACCTGGGGTTCCAAAGCAGATTTTGGAGGTGGGCAGCTCCCGCCTGCTGAGCACTGGCTCTTTTGTTGGGTCTGCCACTTGATAGGATGCTGTAGGGAAACTGGTCAAATTTTGGGCTGGATCCTACATTCTTGCTCTGAGCTGGACTTTGGCCTGAGGTTGGAAGTGGCTACTTCTCTTCACTTGGCTTTCTGATGTTACTACTCGAACCAGTTGACCTTTTCCCCGAGGACACAGCAGAGATATTTACTCGCCCTCTGAGCCACAGGAGCCTGGGTGTAGCTGATAAGTCACAACACATTACCTGAGGCCTATGGGTGCCATGATTGCTTGGGAACGCTGGAGCCTGCCAGATGCATAAGGCTTGTGATCACCACTTCAGTCTGCTGCTGACATTCAATTAGAGGACTAATCAGTCACTTTGGATGGCAGCAAGGGGCTGGCAGTGGAAGCCAAAAACACCCAGCTACCTTTGCCATGTGCCTGGTAGGAGTAAGGAGGAGGCTGCTGCTTCTCACCGGGGGTCTTGAGGCTGGGCCCCCAGCAGGGAAGGGGTTAACTTAAAACAATCCTTACTTCAAGATGATAAAAAGCGTTTGTTTTGGAAAGTGGGTGTTTTCAGGTTCGTGGTTTCAACTGCAGTGTCCAGTCCTGTTAGTGGTGGCAGTGCACGTGGGGGTACTGGTCATGCTGGTCCACATCGTGCCCAACGGGCTGGGTGGGCAGGGGAGGGCCAGGGACAGGCCGAGAAGGCCCGAGTTGTGTGTGTGTGTGTGTGTGTGTGTGTGTCTGTTTCTGTGCCGCTGTAACATTCCATATGAGTGCATTCCATATTAAACATGCCTCAGCACTCACTCCAGAGGGTGAATGTTACCTGGATATGTGAGTTGATTTGCATCGGAGAGAAGACCCTACTGTAATGTGAACAGTTCCTTTCTTATTTCCCCTGAGGAGCTTGCAAGGGGTGAGACATAATTGTTTTAAAATGCTCAGAAGACAAATATCTTGAAAGTGTTGTTAACCAGGTCTCTTCTGAACTTGCTGAAACATGTCTTCTAGCTTCAATGGCAGACCCGGATGTGCACTTGGGACCAACTGCATACGTGACATCCACAGAACAGCCTCCACTCTATCCCTGCTGAGGGTTCCTCCTTCCCTCCTCCCACTCATGCAGGCTGCTCAGCCTTGGCACGGTTGGCAGCTGGGGCTAGCAGCTCTGTCACGGGACCTGTTTAGCAGCATCCCTGGCCTCTGCTCACCTGTGCCCCCAGTTAGGGCCGTCCAAGGGTCTCCAGACAGTACTCGTGTTCTCTTGAGAGCAAAAGCAGCCCCGTTAAAAGACACTATCTTTATTGCAGTAAGTCATGTAGGCTTAGGTTTATTGGTTTTATCTTTATTGGTTTGTAAGTCATGTAGGTTTAGGTACTGCCTCATGAACCAGCTTCGGTATCGACCACCTTATATTTGACCCCAGAATTCCAGTTTCCATCCATCAATACATAGGACCTGATTACCTACCCCTTCCCCCTACCTTCTGGTTATTTCTGTCTTGTTCTTCTAGTCTAAAAGTTTGTTTTTGTACTGTTGGGAAGAACCACTCTGAACTCTCAGCTGTGCCGGATGTAGGGACTCAGATGCCCCCAAGGTCAGTGGCTGAATGTTCCACTTAAGCTCTGGTGTCTCTGCTGAGGTCCTTGCGGCTCTTGGAGGCCGGTGCCATTCCTTCTCCCGAGATGCATCCTTACAGAGGGCTTCAAAGATTTCATCCTCTGGGAATGAGATGGTTTCTCACTAATAAAGGAAGCTGCCTGGGGACTTAACTCTGATGATATGCATAAAGATGGATTATCCTGCTATAATTTTTTGGCAGGCAAAGCATTGCTGAAGCTGACCCAGTAGGGACTAATCTAATGCACAAGGCTTCCTCTCTCAGCT